CATGTGAGTCACAGTCTCAACTCTTCTTAGAAGCCCTCACAGTCTTAGTATCGGACTGGGAGTCAGAGAAAGGAATTACCACTTCTGATGCTATGTTCTAGGAAAGCCAAGATAATTCTCTCTTGAAACTAGGCATAAGGAATAGAGGGAGAGACAGGAAGTTTTGATAATTTGAATTTCAAAAGGCATTGGATGGAATACTAAACCTGAGTAGTATGAAGAAGTATTTCTGGCCTAGTCAAATTGCATAGTTGAAGCTCCAAATTTTTGTGATGTTTGAAAGTGGATAAAGTTCATTCTTACACATATTTATGTTGCGCCTATTTAATCAAACAGTGTGCTTGTGCAAATAGGTAAAACCAATACAGCCGTGAAAGCTACTTCTACTGTGCTTAGCATTACATACTTTCAAAACTCCCTTGAGAAAAGTTCACTGAATTACTGTTTTGACTAAGACTTTAAAAATATATTTCTTTAATAAAGCTTGACATGACCATAAGATATTCCTTCTTTTCTTAGCAAACCTCCCTTTACCAAGCACAGACATTTGCCATTACTCTAAAATGCTTTGAATTGTTCTCAAGATTTGGGTCATCTTTCTAAAAAAATTATATTGCTTTACCGGGGGGTGGGGGTGGACAGAAAGGCATTTGTGTGCCCTTGAACAGCAAGTGCCGCTCAATAAGGAATTCTTTATGACCTCAGAACTTCCTTTTCAAGATAAATGCTCAATGAGAATTATATAACCAGTTTGTGCTATGAAAAGCTAACAGTACTGGTCACTCAATGATCTAAATATTGGTTTTAGATATTAATCATGTGTTGGCTATTATTATTTGTAGATATAGCACAAAACTAAGCAGTTTTAATGATACGAACATACTGCTTTCGCATTGCTGCTGTTAAAAATTACAGTGGGACCTCATAGAACAGAAAAGCTTCTGCATGGCAAATGACACCATCATTTGGACAGAGCAGCAGCCTACAAGAATGGAAAAAGAGTTTTTTAGTCACTACACATCCAGTAGAGGGCTAATATCCAAAATATATAAATAACTAAAAAAACCCTAGATACCAATGAAGCAAATAACCCAACTTAAAATGAGATACAAATCTAAGCAGAAAATTCTCAAAAGATGAAACTCAAATGGCTGAGAAATACTTAAAGAAATTTTCAACATTCTAAGACATTAGGTAAACAAAAATCAAAACTACTTTGAGATTTCCACATCTTTAATGGCTATAATCAATAAAACAAGTGACATCTCATACTGATAAGAATTTGGAGTAAGGGGAGCACTCCTACATTGCTGGTGGTAATGCAAACTTGTATAGTTTACTTTAAAAATCAGTGTGGTAGATCCTCAGGATGATGGGAATTGATCTAGCTCAAGATCCAACTATGTCAGTCTTGGGCATATACCCAAAGGATGCTTCATCTTATTACAAGGACACTTGTTCAACCACATTCATTGATGCTCTATTCATAATAGCCAGAAACTAGAAACAACATAGATCCCCTTCAATGAAACAACAGATAAAGAAAATGCAGTACATTCACACAAATGGAGTATTACTTAGCTGTTAAAAAATGATATCATGAAGTTTTCAGGCAAATGGATGGAATTAGAAAAAAAGCATCCCGAGTTAGGGATAAAAAGAAAGATAAACATTATATGTATTCACTTATACGTGGAGATTAGTTCTTATATCAATGATACCACCCTATAATCTATGTAACTATGGAGGTTGGGTATAGACTAAGGAACTAGGGGAACATATAGGTTTCTTAGGAAAGGGAACTAGAATACTTATGGATAGACTGAATGGGAGGATCAAATGGAGAGAAGGACAGAGGGAGATAAGAGAGGGAATACCTAGAGAGACAGCTAAAATTAAGGGCAGTTTGAGGCAACATAATCCCCAAACGATAGGGGAAACAGAGCCCCAACTGGCCATCTCTAGTCACCAAGTTCAGCTTCCAGCCCCAGGATTGGATTTTATCTGGTTGAATTGTTGAATCCTATGGGAATCCCCAACAATCCAGTCTTCCAGGCTGTTGCCAAGATTGTAGGTTGTTCTTCACAAACTGACTGCAAGGCCTCATTGCTAAAGGCAAAACCTACACAGCTCCCTGAACACGGAGACGTCAAGGTGGTACTTACGTAAAGCCTTCACCCCTATGTTCTAGCGTCTTTACTACAGGAGGACGCTCTGTTCTCTACCAAAAGAGAAGAGTAAACATCAACCCAGCCTCAAACCCTGGGATCCACAATGGTATTCTCTGCCTTCAAGATATGTGAGGACAATGGCCACACTGGTGACACAACCAGTATCTGATTTGACTGGAGATCCACTCCACAAGGTAGAACCCTTACCTGACACTTCTTAGGTGACCACAAACCTGATACAAGATAGCCTAAGGTGCTAGGGTGAAACCAAATACTATTTGTCCTGGGCCCTGAGCCGTGAGTTCAGTCAGCTCTTGAAGCCTTCTTCTCTGTAGCCTATGCTGCTGTTTGTAGGGTATATAGCAAGTTTAAACCCCACCATATGTCTTCTCCCTCTTCAGACGATTCTTTAAGGAGGAAATTTCAGCCACTGAAGCCATAGACTAGCAAGCTTTATCCTTTGACCTACAAACTCATTTTCAAATTCCTGGCTTTCTTCTTTCCTGTGACAGTGGGAGACAGAGGTGCTTTCTCTTATGGTTAGCCAAGAAGAACCACTGAGTGAGGGTATTCACATTGGGATTCTATTTTCCTCTCAACCTTCGCAATGTCTAGATAAGTTCTGTTCTTGAAATAGCATTCTGTAATGGTTACCTCAGCTTCTTTACCACCTGGAAAAGCCACCAACTGTCCTTAATCAACTAGAATCTAAATTCTATCCCTATAATTTTTACAGAAACAGCTCTGGATTTCAGTATACAAAGACCCAAAGATGAATTTACCAGCAAAGTTCACTCAGTCCTCTCCTCCAGGTTTCCTATGTAAGGAAAAGTCTCATGGTCTTGAACAGGTAGCTCTCAGACTGACAATGGCACTGTTAATTTATAGGAGCTATCCTCAAGGATGCGGTATTGCTCTACTTTTCTGTTGCAGTAGATTTCTGCATCTTTACTGCCTGTAAGCTTTGGCTCCATGAGATAGCAAACCAATATGGAGATTCTTCTCAGGTCACCATCAAGGAGTGGGTCTGGATTGCAGAAATCCTTGTTTTGTTTTGTTTCCATTTCATTCATATGTCCTTCAAATAATCTCTTTGCAGTCTTGCAGGATGAAGTTATTTTGTGATGTACAGCGTAGAGTTGTGTTTTTCTTTGAGAACTTTTCTGAAAAATCTATTTCTTTCAGCACATAAATTAAACTCTTTTGTGCTTATTCATATTAATAAGTTTGGAGATCTTCCAAGTATTTTATGCAACTTGTTAGATTTTTTATAAGCATAAAAATTGAAATTATTAGTTGAAGCTATTAATTGAAAATTTTAAGAAAATAGTGTTTAAATTTTGGTGTATATTTTGTGACATGTTTAGTTCTAATGCATGCTTCTTTAAATTATTTGTAAATAAGTTATCAGGCGCCTCCACAAAATTTTCTCTTTCGAGGGTCCTGAGCCCTTTCCAATAGTCAATGGGGGATAATCATGCTTCTTTATGAAGTGGTTGTAGTTAAAAAAAAATGCATGTGTAGGTGATTATTGGGGGAGGTTTCTAGTACTTCCAAAATTGTGTCAACAATTAAGTCATTTTTAGAATAAATGGTTTTATATCACTTGTTGATCTATCTTAGTATGTATAACCAACAACTTATACTAAGTAATATTTTATACTTGGTACGACACTGTTTTCCACCATTCAGATAATTATGATCAAGATTTTATAAGTTAGGTTTTAAAGTGTTTTTGCTGGAAATTTTAAAACATACCACTTTTAAAATAAGAAAAGCACAGGAATGAATGAGGTATAGTCTCTATTTTCAACAGGTTTCCTTCAAAAGAAGCAAAGTGAGAACAGATACTCCAACCAGTTGTTAATCTGAGATGTCTCCTCCAGGTCTTTCTATCTCCTTCTTCCATAAGGATTCCAGCTCTCTGCCCAAAGTTTGCCTGAGTCTCAGTATCTCCTTCGCTATCCTGGTGGGTAGAGACTTTCAGAGGTCCTTTGTGGAAGACTCCTGTTCTGTTCCTTGTCTTCTCCTACTTTCGATGTCTATCCTACTTGCCCTTCTGAATGAAGATCAAGCATCTTCCCTAGGGTTCTCCTTGTTGTTTAGCTTCTTGAGGCTATAGATTTTAGCATGTTTATCTTATATTATATGGCTAATATCCACTTATGAATAAGTATATATCATTTGTGTTTTTCTGCTTCTGGGTTACCTCACTCAGGATGATGTTTTCTAGTTCCCACCATTTGCCTGCAAATTTCATAATTTCCTTGTTTTTAATAGCTGAGAAGTATTCCATTGTGTAAATGTACTACACTTTCTGTATCCATTCCTCCACTGAGGGACATCAGAGGGAGATAGAAAGACCTGGAGGGGACAGGAACTCCACATGGAGAACAACAGAGCCAAAATACATGGGCAAGGAGGCCCTGCAGAGACAAATACTCTAACTAAGAACTATGCATGGAGAAGACCTAGACCTTGTTCAAAGGAAGCCCATTGGCTGCTCAGTTTCCAATTGGTTTCTCTAGTAAGGGGTACAGGGGATGTCTATGATATGAACTCAATCAGGTAATCCCTGATCACCTCTCCCCCAGGGGGTTGCAGCTTACCAGGCCACAGAGGAAGACGATGTAGCCAGCCTTGATGAGACCTGATAAGCTAGGGTCAGATAGAAGGGGACTAGGGAAAGGACATAGAGGGAGGGTGGGTGTGACTGGGAGGAGATAAGGGAGGGGGCTACAGTGGGGCTACAAAGTGAAAAAATTGTAATAAATATATATAAACAAAATCAAATTAAAAAAAAGACTGAGATAGACCATGCAGACCAGGTTTGGGTTGGTTGGTCTTTATTAATGGTAACACTTGGGAAGTGTTTCACAGATCCTATTACTAACACTACTCATTTGAGACAAGTGTGACACTGTCACCACAGGAACTACCTGTCCTGTACCCTCAGGTCCATTCTGTATCCTAGAGTCATCACGCCATCCTCAATCCACATCTGCTCCTCCAATTTTATGATATTCCTCAACAAAAAGTACATTTGATTTTTTTCTCGATTAGATGGAATTACTGCTGAAATGAAATTTTTTCAACTTTAGTTTTAAAGCTAGAAAAAATCATCAATAATGAACTTGGAAAGAGAATTTAAAAAAAATTAGGGTGAGTTCTTTTCAAAGGCAATGTGTCCTATTTTGTATATATTTGTATGTAAAAGTTGCTCTCCCTCAGGGCCAGGGAGACAGAACTGATGTCATAGCCCCCTCTGAAGTTCTGTGTCCTCATTGCTAGTGCCCAGGGCCCAAAGGATGCAAGGGCAGCTTCTTTCTGCTTCTCCTCTTAGCCTGGGATCTCATTCCAGCTTAGGCTTCTCTTTCTCTTCTTCCATACCTAGAAATAGAAGCAAAAGCTTTATTTGAGCATCACTGAGCACCTAGGCCATCTCTGCTCACAGAGGTTCTGGCCACCACAGCTAACTTCCACCCACCTTTCTGTCCCTCCCTCCTAAGCTAAGAAGAAAAGCCATTTACAGTGTTTTCCAGAAATACCCTCAGTGATCCCTCTTTCCACCCTTTCCTAACATCTCTGAGACACAGCCAGCTCCTTGTGCTTCGGGGAGAAGGACCCTGAGGCAGGCTTCTTCCTGATGTATTAGTTTCTATGGTGGATACTCCAGTTGGATTGCTTAACCAGCCCCTCAGCACCAAGAGCCATGTAGCTGATACACTTAAACAGCTCCATTTATTTTTCACTTCAGTCCTGTCCATTCTTAAGATCAGATTCTGCATTTCCAAAAGCCAAAGAAGTCTTAACATTTATGTTAACATTTATTTTTAAAAAGCTCATGGGCTCTAATTAGCCATAGATGCTGTTTCTGCTTATATACATTTAACCCTCCCTGCCTGCCTCAGGCTAGAGAGCAACTCCACAGACTCAACCACTGTACCCCTGACTATACTCCTAGTCCCATACTCAGGCATGCTGAAACCCAAGATCTGCCTGCAGGAGCCCACCCATTCAGATCTGCTTTTCCTGAAGGACTTGTATGTACTAGATCAGATAGGCTTTGTCTGTTGTCCTGGTGATGTTTCATTTTCCTGGAAATGAAATTGCTTAGGCCACTGTCCTAAATATACTTAAATCCAGACATTCCATCTGTTTTTTTTTTTTTGTTTTGTTTTTTTTTGCTTTTGCTTTTAGTTAAACATTTTTTTCCCCTAATCTTCCCCAAAGTTCTTGAGTACTTTTTGTGAGTTTGTTTCAATAGCAATAACAAACAAAAGAACTTGAAATAATGTCTTTCTGGTCCTGTTAGTATTCTTTTGTAAATGTCTAGATCCCTGAGTGCAGAGCCTTTGATTACAGCCAGGTTTTGTTCTTGATTACAGCCAGGTGCTTGTTAGTGTCTGTTTCATGGCAGACACTCCAGCTAATCTTCTGTCGGGGGCCTTCTGGCACCTTGCTGCCCCTGAATTTTGGCATCAGGCTTGACCGGACTACTGCCCAGATACAATAGTGCATTCCTGGCTGACCTGGGGCTTTCGATAAGATCATCTTCCTGAAATACCTTAAATCCTCCTCTCCCTCAGGGCTTCCTGAGTAACTCTTCTGAGGAACTTTCCAAATTACCATTATTAGCACATCTTGGTGGGCCATCCTGTGATTTCTACTCACTTAGTAGCCCTGCCAAAGGCAATTACATTCCTTCTGCTTCTGCCTATGTAGTTGTATGGAAAATTCGAATAAACAGAGACTTTGATCAGAGATACTGTCTTGGTCTTCATTTCTCGTGCCCTTGTCCCCTTTTTTATTCCCACTCCCCCATTCAGGATCTCCGGTGACAGACCTGTGGGACGGGTCAATCTTTGTTGATAATAATTGTTCTGAGAGGAGGTTCTGAAAGCAGGACTAGCAGAAAAAGCAATCAACATGTAGGGTCCCCCAGCAATCAGTCATGAAGGCTGGAATTGTTCTAGTGCATACGTTAGGGATTCCTGTCCCCTACCAACTTCCACCCTAGTTAGCTTCACTGAGTCTGGAGGAGGCAGGAGAATATGAACCAATGTTCTGGGCAGGTATCCTCACCCATGGTTGACTTCCATAGGTGAGGAGCTGGCACAGATCTAAAACACTGTTTCCAAAATACTTCTCATAGATCATGTGAGGGGAACACCACACCCAGAAACACGGGCATGAAGAGAGAGTTAAACTATATACCATGTCTTCACTGTTGGGTAGGTAACGAAGGCAAAGAAGGCCCCCTTTAGATAGCCACATGCCTGAGTTCCTGATATGTCCTATGCTCTCTACAGAAGAGTAAAGAAGCTGGGGGCAGGTGTGGAAACATATTTTATACTGTAGGCAACACCTGTATGCATATACACATGCATGCGGTGGGTGCGTGTGCATGCACACCCACACATATGCCCAGACTAATTTTAATCTGCAGTTGCAAACTCAGCTGTGAAATCAACTAAGTGCCAGATGAGAATTAGGGAAACTTAGACAGAAATCTAAAGATGGCAACTGTTACTCAGTTCAAATCCACTGTTGACAGGAAGAAGTGGGATCCGTGTCACCAGATCTTAAAATACTTGATAAGGAGAGGATGTCCAGCTATGACATGAAAATTTCCAAGTTTAAGTGTTGGCAAATAAAAAAAAAAATCCCACTATGCAGACAGAATGACATTTCTTAGTATGTAAATGTAGGAGAAAGGATGAGAGACATGGCTGTCAACCAAGTACTTGCAAACATGAGGACCCGTGATTGATCCCCAGAACAAGCACTAAAAGGGGGCATAGCTGCATGAAGTAGTAATCCCAGTTGCTGAGGAGGCAGACACAGAAGCTGGGCCCACTGGCCATCCAGCTTACTCTGCTTGGTTAGTTCTTGGGTAACAAGAGACCCTGTCTTACCCAAAAAAAAAAAAAAAAAAAAAAAAAAGATGAGGTCTGAAGAATGACATTTAAGGTATATAAGCAAAATTTTTCTTCAGCTTCATGTGACCTTCTGAAGCTAGACAAAAGTTACCTGCTTCTAAGACATGATGGCAAGGCAAGTATGAGTGTCAGATGAACATATGAACACACACACACACAGAGGAAGAGAGAAAGAGAACCTTTGGTGGACCAGATCTCTCTGTAAACAGAAATAAGTTATGAAATGGTGACTGACTTTCATGCATCCATGTAAGAAAAAGACAGAGACTAGTTAAGTTGCACTGCAAATTAAAAAATAAAACACAACAAAAAAAACAACCTAAAGAAAAAAAACTCAGTGTCACTATTCATTTTTAACTCCTCATTTAAGGCTGCTAGTAAGCAACATTTTCCAGTCTAGATTGGATATTTATCTCTTCTGCCATTCAGGCCATCTCCTCAATGCACTAGCAGAGTCATGGCCAAATGTCTGCCAGAACCAAGCACATCAAGAGGACAGAGGAAGCCAGAATTTTTTTCCTGGACTACACATACTAGCTTAAATCTAACTTCAGCTGTTCTCTGAAGAAGGTGAGGGAAGTTTGCATCTTATGTGAAAGACATGATAACTGCTTCTGGAGAATGGTGGAAACACCATGGAAGGATTAACGTCTGGCTCTCCAAGCTGTGGCCTGAATGGACTGAAAGCAGGGGCCACTTAGCATTGGCTGACACGTTCACTCACATGGGCTCGGAAGAAGCGCACACAAAACCAGTCTGAATCAGTGACTGTTGAAGCACCACTTTATTAGCCAAGTGGTCTGAGCTCCTGCACAGTGACTGGCCCTCAGTGGCTGCTCAGCATTCATGGATCAAAGTCCACTTACAGGTGGAATCTAGAATGACGACTGTGTCTGAGGGGTGCCCAGATCTCTCTGCAACCCCCATACCAAGCCTCTGGATGTGTTTTCATGAGGGATTCAGATCACTACATGTTCAAGCTCTTGCATTTTTACCTTCCTGCGCTTATGTATTCTTACATAGATTTTGGACAGGTTTGGCACAGCTTAAGTAAGATTGGGTGCCTTGCCCAGAAGGAGGCTTTGCTAAAAATAGAAACACAAGAGAAATCTAGTTAAAGGTTAAAGGAGCTTTAGCAGCAATGAAATATATGCTTTAATGACTGCATCTCTCCATGACCTTCCACTCTGGCAAAAGGCAGCCACCTAGACTGTTTATAGTTCTGGTTTCATAGTCACGAGATTCCTTTGAGCCTACCACATCCATGAAAAGATGACATAAAAAATGAGCCCGGTGACTTTTAATGAAGATAGTTGGATAACTTTCTATTTAATTTAGGGTCCTTTCACGACAGCAGGATTCTGGTAGTCAAAGCTGGCCCTGGCCCTACTCCCCCCCCCCCCCCGCTAACACTGTCTTTTTTTTCTATATAATTTTATGAGCATGCTTCTTTTATCTTTAGGCTTGGATGTTTTACTACCTAATAAGACCGAGTGAGAAACAAACCTTTCAGGTAATACTGCCAGCAGCTCCTAAATTAATACTGTAATAAGAAATGAAGCTTTTGTAGAGAGCCTGTGTGGAAGACTGGGGAGAAGGCTGCCACCACAGCTTCCCTCAGCCAAGGCTCTCGGAGGCGATACTGCTCTTGCTTTATGTACCCCGACGAGACTCACTTCTCTGCGTATCCCAGATGTAGCTGTTTAGCACTTCTCCAAGCAGGTACAGGAAATTCATTAGGATGGTTGTTGATCCAAAGAAGATGATCCTGGCCCCCGAGCCAATATGTTCCAGGAAGGGGTACACCCACATGCCGGTGACATGATGTATCCAGCACACCCTGCATTGGAATTGGAAAGGAGACAAAGATGGAGTCACGGACATGACAAATGTCAAAGCTGTTGTGGTACAAATGCAAGCCCATCACACCAGCAAAGAGCTCCTGTTTGTCCCCACACCAAGTCTGGTAACATCTTGTATACTTCTAGGACAGTTACTACAAGTAAGGAGTCAACAATGGCCTACCAGCACTAACCAAACTACTGCCTTTCTTTGCTGGGTCTTTCCTCTGTCCCAGGAGCGGTATCAGGACCCCACACTACACCGAGTGACACATCTGCCTGTTTCCTCCTTCCTGGCACTGTCTTCTTGTCTTTAATGACACTTAAACAGTTTTGGTCAGGTATTAGAAACTGCAGAGTGATTTAATACTGTTATTCAATCCTTTTAATCTCCTCTTTACACAATGGAACAATGTAGCGTTAGGCAATCACCCTGTACTAAAGCTGGCAGAGTACATGCCAGGTATCTTTCCCTGCTGCCTTCCGGTGAGACAGGACCATGAACTGCGTGCACCGGAGCCGCCACCTCGTCACTCTGAAGATTCACACTTCCTGCTTCTCTGATCTCTAGATTCTGCTTTTACTTCCTTCTAAAACATTTGTGCCTGCTCACTTGCCACCGTCTTGTTTCTGGCACAGGAAACCGTCTTGTTTCTGGAACAGGAATAGCCTGATTTTGAAGGGCATACTTTCATCCCTGGCCCCTTTCTCTCTCTTCCTTACAGTCCTCACGAGATGAGTAACTTTCCAGCCCTACCTGCTTATTCGTGAAAGCTGCCAGGCCAGCTGACCATGGACAGAAACCTTTGAAACTGCTATGGCTAGTAAGCCTTTCCTTCTTTAAACTGCTGTTCTCAGGTGCTTCGTAACAGCAATGGAACACTGACTAATATACAGAGGACTGAGGGGAATTTGTGTTGAAGATGATGGAAAATTTGAGGGCTAGACATCATAACCATAACATGTAAGTGCATACCTACAAATGGTTCATTGTTTCCATGGTATTGACTTATACAAGCCAAAATATTTGTTAAAAAGCATGCACATGCTCACACACACACACACACACACACACACACACACACACACACACAGTCAATGAACTGATTCTTCATGACACTCTGTTATACTTGTAGACCAGAACCTAGGCCAAGAGTCATCAGAGTGGCCTCATCCAGCAACTGATGGAAACAGATGCAGAGACCCACAGCCAAATATTAGTTGGAGTTTGGGGAGATCTGAGAAAGAGGGGGAGGAAGGGGAGTAGGCACCACAAGAACATGGCCCACAGAATCAACTAACCAAGGATCATAGTGGCTCACAGAGACTGAAGCAACAATCAAGGAGACTGTATGGGTTTGAGCCAGGTCCTCTGCATATGTTATGGTTGTGTAGCTTGGTCTTCTTGTGGGACTCCTACAGTGGGACTAGGGGCTATCGCTGACTCTTTTGCCTGCTCTTGAGACCTCTTTCTTCCTACTGGGTTACCTCATCTAGCCTTAATATGAGGTTTCGTGCCTGGTACTATTTTAGCTTGTTATGCCATGTACAGTTCATATTCCTGAGAGGCCTGTTCTTTTATGAAGGGAAACAGGAGGAGCAGATCTAGGGAAGAGGGCAGGTGGAGGAGGATAATGGGAGAGGGACTGGGAGGAGAAGAGGAAGAGGAAACTGTGGTCAGGATATAATATATGAGAGAATTTTAAAAAATGTTAACAAAACTTATATTTAAGTTGAAGCACTTGTGGAGACCAACAGAAATTAAATTGTTGGAAGCAGAGGGTGAGCTTTTGATATGACCTGTTGTGCTAGTTCATAAATTGTGGGCAGTTAGATCTTTTCTAGTTTTAACTAAGGTTAGAAGGTGTTGTGCAGCCACCAAGAGGTGTCCATGTAGAAAATATGCAACATACCCCAACTTATTGTTATAAAATAGTAAATTATTTTTATAAACCAATTACAAAATTGTGACCTGACTCACTGTAAAACTGTTTCCTCCATTTTCAATCACACTGGGGGTGTGATTCAACGATGAATGTTAATATACTTGGCATACCTATTCCTGGCACTCCATTTTCTTTCGGGGGACTGGGCCTTACATTTCCAGCTCCTTGGATTGCTTCTGTTGCCAGGCCCAAGGTCTGCCCCTTAGATAATGTAATACACTTTTGATCTCCATGGACCAACTTATAATGTCAAACGATATAGCAATGGCCACATCCTCTGTGTCTTTAGGTAATTTCTAAGTTTATATGTCCAGTCTGTATCATTCCTCAAACTTCAGAATTCCATGATCACTTACCACATCAGCACCACCTTGGACAGATGATGATTCCATTTAAGCTTCCTACACATCATTCTTACACTCTGATTCCGCTACAATTGGACTTCATATAGTACTTTCACATGATCTATCATATAAAACCCCCGGTAAGGGGTATTTTGCCCCATTTTCACAACTAAATAACCTCAAACCAAGCTAAACAACATCTAAAAAAACTGGGAAACCCAGGAAAGAAATGAACAGTTGATTTCCCTTTTAAATTTTTAAAATCATTCTTTGAAAATTCACACATGTATATAATGTATAATAATCACGCTCCCCCCCACTAATTACTTTCTTTTAACACCCTGCCATTCTCTCTCTTTCTTCCCAACAAGTCCCATTTCTACTTTCATGTCTCTTCTTTCCTTTTATATAAATAATTAGGATTGCTTGCATGAGCACAGGTAGGGGACGTTTGTAGGTGCACAGAGAACTTCACAGTGGCCACACTGCTGAAGAAAACCCACTCTCCACCCGCCAGCAGCTCTCCAATTAGGAGTGGGGCCTCCAGAGTCCCTCTCTCATCCATGCTTGATCTCCTTTTTGTTGCCCGCACTTGTTTTTCTTGAGGCACTTGATATTGTTTCAAAACATTCATATTTCTCCTCCCCACTCTCATCTTTTGACTTTGCAGGTCATCAAATCACCCAGATACAGATGCAAAAGTCCTGTTATTTGGGGTTACACCTGGATTTGTGTGAACGGTGTACCCACTTGTCCTAACAGGCTGGGATTTTATCACTTGTTTCCTTGATATTATCACAGTTAAATTCTCTGCACAAACATGACTCATAGCCTTGCTCATCTATGAGTGGGGAGTTCTTAGTTCTTGGTTTGCTTTCAATTGCTGTCTCATTTTTAAAGTTTTCTCATCTAAGTACCCAAATATCTATGCTTAAGGCAATGGCACCTATGTTAATAATTCTATTTTCAGCAATCAACAACCGTGGTGCATGTGTGCACGCACACATTGCATACTCATATCTGTACACAGAAGCATATATTGATCAGTGTTATAAGACTTCTAGATTATCTCTTTTATTAAATATACTTCTAGTTCATTTATTACAAATTTATAAATTTAAAAAAATGTACACTTATCCATGTCTCCCATCTGAGCCCTTTGCACACAGAGACCCAGCAGTCAATGAGGCAGAGGTAATGCCTGGCCTTGTAAATACAGTCTTGTGAGAGACCAAGCCATTACATGAGCACTTACAAGTCTGGGCACAATTTCAAGGGTCAGGAGCTAGAGAGATGGCTCAGCTGCTAGAAGCTAAGGCCTACAACAGTTACAAAGGCCAGAACATGAGTGCTGTGAGTACACAGGGATTATTTCCTGCTGTTAAACAGACTGTGTATGTACAACAAGTAATCATTGTGTTTTCTCTTGTATATTCAACTTTCTTTCAAGCCATTCCTTTATAGCTGATAGGTTCAAATGACTTTCATCAATGTGCAATAAAAAAGCTTTCAACAATTTCACCATTGCTCTTTGTCTCTCCTTCTCTCCTAGGTAAACTCTTAACTGGTGAATATCCACTTACTCTGTATCCTTACATCATATTGCCCCTCTGCCAACCTAACTTAATTCTTTCTAAAAGTACAGTCTTTATTTTATTTTAAGTGTTTGATTGCTTTGCCTGAATGCATGTCTATGCAGCTTGTGCATACAGTCCCTATGGAAGCCAGAAGAGGGCACCAAACCCCCTGGAACTGGAGTTACAGGTAGTGGTGAGCTGCCATGTGGATGCTGGAACTTGAGCATGGGTCCCCTAGAAAAGTGCTCTTAACCACTGAGCCATCTCTCCAGGGCCTCAGCATCATTCTTGATACCCAATATAGTATGCTGGCTAGTTTGGCCACCATTTCTCTCTCCTGTTGTCCCCTGCTATTTTGACCACTGTCTCCCCCCACCCTCCCTCTCTGTAGTTCACTATTCACTACTCTGCCACAAAATGTGGATTTTATGGTTTTACTTTAAGGGTAATGTTGGTAGGTCTGCATGCATGTAAGTGTACCCTGTGCTTGTCTAGGCCCTTTGGAGGCAAGAAGAGGATGTTAGATCATTGGGCTGGTGTTACAGAGGTTGTGAGTCACAAAGTGCATGCTGGGAACTGATCCTCTGCTAGAGCAGTAAGCACTTTTACCTGTTAAGCCATTTCGACATCTATGGACTTCCCTTGAGGCTTAGTTTTTAATCCCCCCTTTAATGCTATGCATTCCCTGTTGATAAATGCATTGCCATGGCTTCACACCCACTACATACATAGATATTTCACAAACTTGTATCCCTATGCAGTTTTCTTCTATGTCCAAGAAAATATTCTCAGTTCACAAAGCATGTCATTTTACACATCTTAAATACGATTCCAACTCAGTCTATCTACAGCCAACGTTATATCAATTTCTGGACAGACCTCCCAAATTCCTCATCTCTGAGAATGCAACTCAAACACCTGTCAACATTTCTCCCATTCATCAGACATAGTCCGTACCTTCCCCTGTCTGATCAAAGTTACCTCAATCAGCTTTGCAACATATCTTTTTTTTTTCAATTTATCACAATTTTAATTTGTATGACAATTTTCTCGGTTCAGAAGAATGCAATGGTTTCTAATTTGTGTCTTCTCTTTTTACTCCTTTTCTAATTGCGCAGTGGGCACAGTGGGT